GAATACTGGGACACTACTAACGTTTGAACTTCACAGATAGGACATCATGACATATTCATAATTCCTGCAAAGTTCTATAGAATTTGATGTTGGCTGCAAAAGGGACATAATAGCTTTAAGATTTATATAAAGCATGAAGAAGCTTCACAGACCTAATACATAGTGTTGACTTATTTTACCTATGAGAGAGCGAGTGCGAAGAAGACAGAGAGAGAGAGAGATAGAGAGGGGAGGGTCGAGAGAGGGGGTGTGAGAGAGAGAGAGAGAGAGAGAGAGAGAGAGTGAAAGAGAGAGGGAGAGAGAGTGAAAGAGAGAGGGAGAGAGAGAGTGAAAGAGAGAGGGAGAGAGAGAGTGAAAGAGAGAGAGAGAGAGGGGGGAAATCGAGATAGTAGCTTACAAAATAAAGAGACACAATTATTTCATTTTCAGCTTGATTTCTTTCTGGTTGTAATTTATATTAAACAAAATCATCATGAGGCCAAACCAAAGGACTCGTTATTATTAAAGATAAACTTGAGTTCTGGTTAAAAAAATGAAAATGAATTCTCACGGAATCAAACGAAACTTACACTGAATGTTCAATATTACAAATAAATGTCATTTGCCAAACAATTTTGGTAGAAAATGTATACTGGCTGAGTAATGAGCATAGAAAGATATAAGGAAATAAAGAAATAAATTTATTACAAATAAATGCCATTTGCCAAACAATTTTGGTAGAAAATGTATACTGGCTGAGTAATGAGCATAGAAAGATAAGGAAATAAAGGTAAGTAGGCCCGAAAAAATTTGTGTAACACACCTCGGGCACAAACGGGACACCTCACCTATGTTCAAAAGTTTGTAAGCATTTTGTTGATATAGGCTGACGTGTACTGACTTAATTGAATCCATTATCATGACCATGAGTGAAATGGCACTATAACTGTACTCCGATCTTAACTTCACTTTAAAAAAAAAACAGAAACAAAGGGAACATGAACGGGTGCAATTAAGTAAGCAGTAATTAGACGGCTTCATAATTATTTTGGTACTTTTTATTTATAAAATCTACTTAAAGGTAAAGACCAGTTATGGTCACGCGATTGCATTGTGAAAGAAACGTTGTGGAATCGATCAGAAAAGGTTGATCATCTAGCATCTAGCATCTGCAAGGTTCTGGAATCATCAAAATGATAAGAAATTTGGCCCATTCTTCGTAAAGTTACAAGCACTATACACAGAAAGATTTATATGGGACTACCCTATATCTCTCACAGACCATGAGAGAAACAAATTTACCAAATATATGAATTAGTAGGCAGTTTCCCGGCAAATTTTTTATCATCATGTATTAGTCAAAACATATTCTTTCACATGATTGGTAATGAGAGCTTCCATTTCATTTTTCGAAATTGGGGCGTTTCCAATACTGGTCTTTACCTTTAATACAAGAAGTGTTAACATTTCTTGGGATAAACGCCAAACTGTTTATGCAAGAGAAATAGGCAAATGTCGTACATGAAAAGAAAGAATGTGGTAGCAAGTTAAAAGTCGATAAACACTGACTAAATGCTGATAAAAAAAGACAATAAATGAACCGGTCACCAATGAAAGTAAAACGGCGTGAAACAGAATAACCAGAAAGAGAGAGAGAGAGAGAGAGAGAGAGAGAGAGAGAGAGAGAGAGAGAGAGAGAGAGAGAGAGAGAGAGAGAGAGAGAGAGAGAGTGTGTGTGTGTGTTTAGCAACATACCGTGGCATAACTTTGAAAGTAACAGTTACTGTAAAGGTGACATGTAATTTTGTCCCCCTCCCTCCTCCTTCCCCCATGACTTCGAAAACGAACATAGCAAATACTTCGTATGATCAAGGAATTATCACATTGTAATAACTCCTTGGTATGATTCTTTCTTTTACATGAAATGAAATGAAACATGTGGTGAATCGGATGTTGTCCAACAATTTTTACCTACAGATATGACAAAGTTTGTGCATGTCTAATCTTTCCAGATGTTTGTCCCTGAGCCGATCTGGATGTTCTAGAAATGATTGAAAAACCATATGATGGTCCAAAAATGGAGGAAGTATAAGGGGATTTTTATTTTAGATAGAGAAAAAAAAAAGAAGAGGGAGTGAGAGAAGAGAGAGAGAGAGAGAGAGAGAGGGGGAGAGAGAGAGGGGGGGGGGAGAGAGAGAGTAAGAGAGAGAAACAGACAGACAGAGAGAGAGAGACAGAGAGAGAGACAGTGAGAGAGAGAGAGACAGAGAGAGAGGGAGAGAGAGAGAGAGAGGGAGAGAGAGAGGGAGAGGAAGAGAGAGAGAGGGGGAGAGAGAGAGAGAGAGAGAGAGAAAAATCCAGTTTTGATTCTTCCGTCCGGTTGGGCTGTGATGGAGCGAAGCATTGAAAGGTCATGCATGATTCGCGCTGGTTTCCTTCCCGCTGAGTAGCCGTGAGATCTTCGGAAGATTCGCTTATAACGCAAGCAGAATAAAAGCAATAAATCTATTACAGAATTGATTTAGTCTACAAGAATAAACATTGTTTGGAAAACCCGATGGCATTATAAAGTCAATTAATAAGAAAAAAAACTTTCTATAAAGATTTGCGAAAATATTCTGGACCATTCATAACTAAAAGAAAAAAAAAGAGAAATATAAAAAAAAAACATTAAAATTCATTGATTAAAATCATCCGCTCTGTTAAAAAGGAATACTATCATAAAAGATTTGGCATCCTAAAATGCAACATGAAAAAACGTGGAAAGAAATTAATCATATTTAGGGGGAAAATTCTGATGTTTTTCTACCAACAAAAATGTACTATAGGAATGAATGTATTGAAAGCAATCAAATGAGAGCCATGTATTTCAATCAATATTTTGTTAACATTAGGTAAAAATGTTGCCAATGACATTCCTCAATTTCGCACTGATTTTATGAGCTTTTAAGATAATAACAATGTCAAACTATTGTTTATGAAACCTACTAATATAAATGAAGTATTAAAGCCCTGCTCCTCCTGAAAATCAACGTCTTCTTGTGGCTCTGACGACATAATATATTCAACATGTCTATTGATTATGGTCAATTTCCTAACGCACTCGAACCCTTCTTTTCAAAAATACTTTAGAAAAAAAGTCTTTGAATGTTTATATGATTTTCTGAATTATAATAATATATTGATTTTGCAACAATTTGGTTTTCGTAAAAAAAATTCTACATGCATGCCAATATCATATGTATGATAGTATTACACAAAAGAGATAAGGGTAATTTTACTGTTGGTATATTTTTAGATCTCTCAAAGGCATTTGACACCGTTGACCATGACATAATTCTTTAAAAAAAAGGAACATTATGGTGATGGTGATGGTGGTTATTTTACCTGACTGCTAAGAAAGCATAAATGCTTGTAAGACGGCCGACGTCAGAGGTCATGCTCTTGACTGGTTTCATAATTATTTATCAAATCGTATGCAGTATGTTGTGGTCAACGGTGTCAAATCAGATTTAAGTTGTGTATTATACGGAGTTCCGCAAGGGTCTGTTCTCGGCCCATTATTCATTTTTGTTATATATTAATGATTTTAAAAATTGTTCTTCAATTCTTAATTTCATACTTTTTGCGGATGACACCAGTATTACTCTTTCTAACCAAATAAACTGTCTTTAAATTTTGAAAAAAACAAAATATAAAAAGGCTGGTAATGATATTCCACAAGTCATTATGGATGGCATGATTATTACCCAAGTATCAAATATTAACTTATTAGGTATCAAAATAAGTTAATATTTGATACTTGGGTAATAATCATGCCAAGTATCAAATATTAACTTATTAGGTATCAAAATAAATGAATTATTTTCTTGGAAACCACATATTGATGATCTATGCAGTCGTTTATGTAGAACTACTGGTGTCCTCCGCACTTCACCTTTACTTTACTTTACTTTACCTATACATGACGATGTCATTATAATTATAACACATTGATTTTGCCTCATCTCACTTACTGCTGTATGATTCTTGGTCATCATAATAACATAACTTAAATAACTTAAAGGCTCACTGCACTACTTGTAGCTACTTGCCCCCTCTATATAGAAAACAATGCCTAATCGGTGACCATTGGTCCCCCATAATCCTCTTTTTCTTAAGTTATTTGAGAGCTGAGTTGATGAGATAACCACCTGTCCAGTTACCTTGCAGGGTGCTCTAATACCTCCTGTAAACTACTACTGATAAGCATTAATACATGTACAAGTCATAAGTTACGATTGAAATTTTTGTTTTAATGAAATCAGTTATATATAATATAAAACTAATTATAACACCATTCTTTAATTACTACACAGCCCCAAACAAAACCAATAGCATCTGTAACTCATTCATCCTTACTCGTTCACATGCACACTCACATGCATGTACACCACAATAACATACACTCACATGCAAGAACACACCACACCCACATCCCACCCCCCCCCCAAACACACACACAAACACCAAACACGCAGTAAGCTTAGTTACACGCTTATATTCATATTCAGTTCTAATTCTTCCCATTTTTGTAGCCGCAACGACAACCTGCCTACCTTGATTGCAAAAGTCCTTTTCCTCCTCTATAACATCCGTAATAACTTCCTTCTGCCTTGATTAAAAAATTGTATATTTCAACAATTGTTGTTTCGAATAATAGATGGTATTTAACAAAAATATGATATTCTTGCACGCTACCTTAATTCTAAAAGAACGACGAAGCTCGTAGATTACTCTCCACCTTTCCAAGAAATCGTTCTTCTCTTTAATTGGTAATTATGTCATTCATCCCATCAAACATTTCAAGAGGTGAGCGCTAATTTATTTGTATAATACGCTCATTCGCGCCTGTGAATTTAGACTACAGTATATGTGTTCTGTCAGTAAATACTCGCGACGCGTGGCGTACACAGTCATAGGCCTTGCCAAGCCACTTCAACTCAACATCAATTTGTGGCGAGTCCTGCATGACTGTTTGCTCATCCTCTACTCGCCTTGAAAATCAAAGACATCTCCAGCTAAGAGATTGTTTGTTTAAGTGATTTCGCGCTGGACGCTGAATCTTCAACTCCTGAATTCAAAAGAGCTGTGATCACCCATTTACATGTAAATTCTTTTTTTTCTGGCTTCATCTCTTCTTCTGTGTGTTCTTTCTCCGTTCTTGGACCCGGGCCGGGCCTGCAACAGTTTAGTAGGTTCCATGGTCGGAGTCTCAGAGATTAGCAATAGTTTGCACCAAGTCAAATGAAGCAAATTGAACCAGTTTAACCAGGGCATATCCCTGCTTGAACCTTGACGAGAACATCCTTGAACTGTCTTCGATACCGACCGAAATCATAATACTGTTCGACCGGATGGCCGAGAAATAAATTCCTGTGGGATTCCTTATTCAGGTCAGTATAAGTTACAGATGGTAGCTATATTTAGAGGTGTAGATCTATGTATTTTTATATAGGATTTTATAGTATTGACTATTGAAAGTGTGAAATTCGAATTCCTGTATCCTCTGAATCGCTGTATTCCACCCTTATACAATATGTATAACTCTACTAGTTCCAATAATAATATCACGGTTAACGTTCAATTAAGGTAATTAAGACAACATTATAGTCAGAAGACCTCGATTGATATTAATATAACTTGGAATTAACACTGATTAATATCAGGCTAGGAACTCCATGTTAATATTAAGTCTTGCTGTGTCACGTACATTCCATAGCCAAAGGAGTATGTTGATCAACAAATACTGTTGCCCATAACATTGGAATTTTAAAGAACCTCTTTTCAGGAGATGAATGTGACAATGTGGTTTATTTTTTAAGGATAAAACTGATATATTCTCAGAACTTTATTGATCAACCTCTACGACTCATTAGATTGATAAATAGAGTTGTGAAAAGAAAAACGTTATTATATCAATCAAGAATAGAATATATTGTCACAGTCCCTTTATAATAGGGGTAAAATATATTTATTTCAACTTCATAGGCAACAGTGTAGTTTCAAGTTTTTTCATTTTCCGTCACTTTGCATTTAATTACCCGACTGAAATAATACAACAAATAAACTGTTCAATCCGCTGTTTTCAAGGGTAGTGAAAAAGATAATGTAACGAATATAAGTTGCATTGCGCACAAATCTTCAACAATAAAGGAATTATGAGTGATGTTTGTTGGCGGCCCAATACTGTTTTTTGAGGTCAATGAACAAGGTGGACACATATACATTTTATGGTTAACGTTTACACAGAATGGAAATGAGCTTCCATCAACAAAAACGAAATCCATGTTTTTATCATAATTTGCCATCTAAGGTCCCAGTTGAATCAATTCATGTTATATAATTGATGTTTCTCTTGTCACCAAGCACGTAGCCACGGGGGGGGGGGGGGTGCTCGGTTGAACTTTATAGACCGTCACTGAAAGTGATTGATAAAATATTTCAAAATGGTATTGCATTTAGTCCAATTTGAATTTTTACTATATTGACGTTGGTATCATTGAAAAGCCTTATCGTTCTTTTGTACAACGATGCCCTATTTGTAATGAATATCCAGGAATGTGCAGTACACTTGAATAAAAACGAAATGGTTCAAAATGCATTTTTATTGTCAACAGGGAATCTTTCTTTTGTTTTGGTAGCGACCATTTTATTATAAATACTCATATCGCGTATAATTTGAAATGAAAGATGTTCGCGTATCCAAATGTATATAGTGACTCCAGGTGATCCTTCAAGCAGACTTTCCCCCAGCACATAACCGATGAAACTATCGAGGGATTCGTACATTCCTTTTTGATAACTTTGTTACAAGACCTCATGAAGAAGCCAAAAAGTGTATCCCTACTGTGAAAGGTTGAAACGGTGGTAAGCCACCGATAAGCTAGTGGAAAAATAAAAAGATAAGTGCAAAAGGAAAGCAACTCAATTTCCAAAGTGTTGTACGTCCCCAACTAAAATTCAGAAGGCATGTGCCCAGCGTGTCAATATGAATCTACTTCACTTGGTAACCTTATGTTTTAAAAAATACACCATCCTCATCATTATCATCATCATCATCACCATCACCATCATTACCATCATAACTATCATCATTACATCATCATCATCATTGTCATCATCATCATCACCATCACCATCATCACCATCATAACTATCATCATTACATCATCATCATCATCATCATCATCACCACCACCATCATCACCATCATAACTATCATCATTACATCATCATCATCATCATCATCATCATCATCACCATCATCACCATCATAACTATCATCATTAAATCATCTTCATCATCATCATCATCATCATCATCATCACCATCATAACTATCATCATCATCATCATCATCACCATCATCATCATCACCATCATAAATATCATCATCATCATCATCATCACCATCATCATCATCACCATCATAACTATCATCATTACATCATCTTCATCATCATCATCATCATCATCACCATCATAACTATCATCATTACATCATCTTCATCATCATCATCATCATCATCACCATCATAACTATCATCATCATCATCATCATCATCACCATCATCATCATCATCACCATCATAACTATCATCATCATCATCATCATCACCATCATCATCACCACCATCATAACTATCATCATCATCATCATCATCACCATCATCATCATCACCATCATAACTATCATCATCATCATCATCATCACCATCATCATCATCACCATCATAACTATCATCATCATCATCATCATCACCATCATCATCACCACCATCATAACTATCATCATCATCATCATCATCACCATCATCATCATCACCATCATAACTATCATCATCATCATCATCATCACCATCATCATCATCACCATCATAACTATCATCATCATCATCATCATCACCATCATCATCATCACCATCATAACTATCATCATCATCATCATCATCACCATCATCATCATCACCATCATAACTATCATCATCATCATCATCATCACCATCATCATCATCACCATCATAACTATCATCATCATCATCATCATCACCATCATCATCATCATCATCACCATCATCATCATCACCATCATAACTATCGTCATCATTATTATCATACATCCCTTTACTGTCTGTTTGTATATTACCATTTTGTGTTATGATCCTGCAAGTCAAATAAATATATAGATAATATAAATGAAGACAAAAATTAGATAAGTAAACAAATGAATGGATAAAATGGAGGCAGTGTTCCGAACGCATTTTCAGTGTAGTGAGGTGTTTGGAAATTATTTTCTCTCATTAGTGTATTATAAATTTTAGATTATTTGTTTAATCGAACATGTCTATTATTGTTTAGTACTCAGCAGAGATGCATAGTGAATAGGCGTTCGGGGCTCACGGTCACCGTTTCGACTCAGGCCCAGCATCTCTGTACAGTGGCAGATCCAGGGGGGGGGGGGGTACAGTTAAAAACACGTTAGTTAGTTGTTTTTTTAGATAGGCCCCCTCCCCTGGCGCTCAAGGGGGGAGGGGGTGCGATTTTTTCAAATTTTCGAGGGCCAAAAGAAAAAAATTAGTGCTCACTACCCCCCCCCCCCCCCAGCTGGCTGTTTTGCCGCTAAATATTCTCTCACGAATTGGGCCCCCTCTTTGGCCCTGTCCCCTGCCGCCGGCTGGATCCGCCCCTGTGTCTTTATATATATATATACTCATACAACCTTAGCAATAACTATTTTTAAACTTTATCATTTTTAGGACTTTTTTTCGTCATAAAGAGGTTCCTACGATACAAGAAATCAGAAAAAGTACATGCATATAGGCCTAGATGAATTGGCGGTTCCATGGATGATGGGTATCAAAATTCACGAGATTATTTTATTGATGGACCATGGTTTATAAACATTCCGATGAAGTCACCCCCCCCCCCCTTTCACTCTGCACTGGGCATGTCTATGGAGGCATACCGATGTCATTCTATATAGAACCTTGTACCTTGTAGCTTGTACCTTGTACCTTGTACCTTGTGTTCGTCTCTTCCGAAAGGTCCGCTAGGAACTATAACTGGAAGTATAACTTGACGTGACGAGAGTATAGATTTGTGTATTTCTGGGGTTATATGCTATTTGATTTAGTTTTGGGATTGCAGATTTGAAGACTGTGCTGGATTTAATGTCCACGTTTAGTTGAGGTAGGTCATTCCATAGTTTTACAGCTTCAGGGAAGAAGGATTCTGCAAATGGTGTTGATGAGCACTGAAAGGTAGTCAACTGTTTGTAATGTGTCCGCCTACTTCTTGATCCATTCCTCTGGAGATAATCTCCTAGTGGAATATCTAGTTCTGCATTAATCATCTTGTGGAGTGTAGTTACCCTTTGGATTAGGCGTCTCCTCTCTACGTTGTCCCATTTCAGTGTTGTCAGCATATTTTAATTACAAGAACACTTGTAATTAAAATGACATTTTCCTCTGTTTATTCAGCAGGAACTACACTCTATTTCTCGAAGAATATTGAACTGAGGAAACAACAAAATGACCCCTTACTACAAGAGGAGACTCATGGTAAGGATATTTAATGTGACTTGTCACTTAAGCTGTCAGTAGGCCAACTAAGACAAGCACGATCGCAGAGACCTTCGAGAAATCAGCTTATGTCAAGTCAACTGATTCTATACTAGGGAATTGACATGATTGTATTGCCTAGATACACCCCCCCCCCCTCCCACTCCGTGAACGGAGGGATACCATGCGTGTTCCAAAATGTCCGGTAAAGGGGTACTTTTCACGCACCAAAGTCCGGCTCGTAGTACACACCGGACTTTAGGGGGGTGTTTTTCAAAGGAGGGAACATGCATATGCGTACCCTAAATAACACTGAGTGGGGGGGGGGGGGGGGGAGGGGGCGGGGATACAATGATCGGATTCCGTATCATGTCATTCTCATGTTCATTTATTTCAAGATAATATAGTTGACGCACAAGGCTAACGAAATTGCCTAATAATACCGGTAGGCGAGGTTGATGTCAAATGCCCTATGTGTATCTTTGGTCCAGTCACTGAGCTGGCACTACAATCGTATAAGGAGGTGGGGAGGTGGGGGAGGTGGGGGGGGGGGCTATCGGTTTTTGTGAGGTGAATGATGAATGAAATAAAAATTAAGAAGTCCATCAAATAGGGGTATGGGCTGGGGACTAAGGGTCAGATCATCTTCTTTTCACCGTGTTATCTTTCTCCTTTATTTTTCTCTCCTCTCTTCTTTTTCTTCTTCATTTTTGTTTTATTGTCATTCATTGGGGGGGGGGGGGCGGGCACCTTGCAACTGTAGCTTTACAATTACCTACTATATTGTATTTTTAACTGTGAAAGATATAGTAATTTTTCCAGCACCACAGCAACATATTTTGATATTGATCTATTTCGTCCACAATATGGAAATATGCTTCCCACCAGCATTACAATAATAATACAAGAAACAGAGTACCTTACAGTCATGTTCTCGTAGAGTCAGGACTGAACTGAATCAGTTAATCGTATCGTTCGTGTTATTATTCATATTCCGTTATGAATAGGATACAAACAAAAACGGACTCTACTATTGAATCGCCTATTAAAATACGAAGGGAAACATATCCTCTCTTTTTTTTTAAATCAATCTTTTGGTGTTTTTTCTTCCAGATATTGCTCACTTTTACAGGGATGATAATGTACTTTTCATTTACTCTGATGTCTTTCTCGAGGGAGAGCAACGTAGCCCAGCCATTCCCTCGACCAAGCAAAAATACGGGCCATGATGACGGCGCTTCTAGAATTGATTCATTACATCATGAACGGGAACACCACGTCTTTCAATATGGGAACACCACCAAATTTAGCGCTAACACTAGTGATTCGTCTCGCGGCTCCCCTTTCATATTGAAGCAACCAGTGGCTGGTTGGAGGCAGCGACCTCGGAAACACCTTAAAACAGAAGCTAAAGATCACCACGTACCATTGTCAAAACGGAAAGCCGTAGCGGTTACGACTGCGAGAATATCTCAAGACATTTTAACAAATCTGTCACTCAGTTTTCAAGCTTCTCAACTCCGTTTCGAAAGGGATATGGCAAAGTATGGTCAGCAGGAGATTGGGCAGCCAGTACGGTACACGAGAGAGAACATTCCTGCAGATTTACGTGCCCTGGCACCAAGTGTAAGTAAATTTATTTTTTTTAAAGAAAAATTATAATAATAATAATAATACTCAGTTTATATATTGCGCTTATTACAACCACTAAGCGCTTCCAGATTTGGAGATTATTACCCCCGACTTTAGCTGTGCTGCCATCACGGCGCTCTAGCATTTCAAAGAATTAATTCTTGCCAGGTACCCACCTGGGTCGAGTGTGGCAAATGTAGATCAATCTCTTGCCAAAGGACATTAGTACCGCGGTGGGTCTCGAACCGCGTACCTTGTGATGGACAGTCCGGCGACTTAACCGTTCTCCCTGGGGGCCCTGCAATCATAATTGTATAAGTCAATAGATTCAAACTTCTTATCACCAATTATCTGTATCACAAATTACCTGCTTTGATTCTTCACGCATCAGGACGACTATTCCATGGAACATCGCCTCATATCGTCAACTCCCTGGACAACAACCCCAAGGACAGTTATCCTCGAAAAACTACCCCGCTCTGTCCCTTTAACAGCTACCCCTTCGGATAACTACCAATCCCGGACAACTACACATCCACGGACAACTACTCCCCTTCAAAATACTATTGAGAACTGTCGAGGGAATCTGCATAGGTGCAGTAATTGTCCGGATGTTTTCCCCGGTGGTGATGTCCGGTTGTAGTTGTAGTTGACCGGATGCAGTTTTCCGGTGTAGAAACCTTTATTGATGAGGTAGTTGTCATAGGAATTATTTTCTGGGGTTAGAATAGACAAGGATGGTTAAGTTGAGAGGAAGGAAGTTATCCAATAGCCGACTCGTCAATGATAACAGACTTCTTGGGCGATGTCTCACATCTTAGGGCGCGTTCATGCTTGATTTTGACGGCCAGAATCAGGCATCTGTTACGCGTTTAGTTTAAAACACGATTGCGTTCATGCTCACTTTTGTAGAATCACCGAAAAACGGCGATCACGATCGCCGATCGTAAACTCACAAAAAGATGCGTTTACACTTTTAAACGCGTTTAAATGGGGTCAACGCACTGACCTCTAGTGGGTCTACGTAGCATGCGCACACAGGTTTGCGAATCCAGCTGAAGGCCACCCAAGGAGAATTGCCGGGAGAAGTTAGCATGAACAGTGCACCGTGGAACTGCGATTACGATGAGCGTTTACGATGAGCGTTACAAATCGCTCATTCTGCCTTCAAAATCAAGCATGAACGCGCCCTAACATACATCTAACATGGTGGTGGTAGTTGTTATTTTACCTGACTGCTAAGAAAGCATAAATGCTTGTTAGTAAGCAACCAGACGGCCGGCGGCTTTAGGTCCTCTCCGAGGGACATGGTAATAAGGATTAATGCCTTACCAAAGGGCATTAGCGCATCGGATTACGAGACCACTGCTCTACCGACTGAGCTATCGCGCCTATGTCTCATCTCGAGTTGCTATTAATCTGAATCGAAAGTCCACAAAATTATTCGAACAGTAATGCATTGAATTCGATGTGAAAACTATGGAGTTGAGGTTAATACAAAACCAGGTCCCTGTTTCATAAAAAAAAGTGTTATCAATAACAAGTTACAATATCTGGTATACGTTACGGATATCGTGGTATTTGATTGGCTGAAAGCAACTTTGACATAGAAATTTGGCATTTGTTATTGATAAAGAGTTTCATGGCCGAAAGTAGATCAGACCTGTCTCAATTACTTTGATATAAAACCTTTGGTGAAGACGAATTAAAGCAAAATATCGCGTGTGTGAATGAAAAGTGTGAACATTCGATATAGATTTGAGTACTAAACTATTAACTTCCATAATAAGACAAATTTGTTTTTGTTTGAACAGCTGGTATTGGCTAACTTGTTTCATTATCTTAATGTTAGTTTAAAAATCGAAGACCATACAGCTCCTAATTCAGCAGCGATATTTGAGTGTACGAAATTTAATCTCCTATAACGTCATGAATTAGTCTGCATGCACAGACCTTAGTTTCTATTATTGACACTTAAAGAAAAGGTTGAGTTCTGAGAGGTGAAAAAATAATTTGTGAGCATTTTCATTGTGATTATATCTTCATATTCTAAATAATTATGACATGTAACGTTGCGCTAACAGCTTGAAAATGTGGGCCTCATTTTTATGCCATATGTTTGTGTAGTCCCATGTAGATGTACATCTTTCTGTGAACAGTGCTTATTACTTTACAAAGGCGATACAGTACATGATCATCTTTTTCTGATCAATTCCACACCGTTTCTTTCACAATGCAATCACATGACAGTGCTTTCGACACAATAGATCATTCATGTCTACTGAAAACTCTAAGAAGCCATTTTAGGGTTGATGGCAAGGTTATCGAATGGATTGAATCTTACTTGTCAGATAGAAAACAGAAAATTGAAATTGATAACGTTGTCTCTGATGTATTCAATGTGCCTTTTGGCGTTCCTCAAGGGTCGCGATTAGGCCCTCTGTTGTTTATCTTGTATACAAGCAGACTCCTTACAAATATCCATACGGAGTTTCCTAGTATTAGTTGTCACTGCTACGCAGACGACACCCAACTATACCTATCTTTCTGTCCTAACACACCGGCTGAAGATCATTGTATTTCTGAATTAGAATCATGTGTTGTTTATATTAAGATTTGGATGTTGCAAAACAAGTTGATGTTAAATGATAACAAATAGAATTTTTGGTCATTGGTACTCCACGCCAGGTTTCTAAATTTAGGTCGCGTAGTGTATCAGTTGGTGACTCCACCATAACCCCATCTGATACTGTTAGAAACTTAGGTGTGTCTTTTGATACCCACCTGAATATGGATTAACATATCACTAAAATATGCAAATCAGCCTATTTCAGGATTTATAATTTGAGACGCATTCGAAAATACTTTGATCAGGACAGCATGAAAACTGTCATGCATGCATGTGTTACTAGTAAACTAGATTACTGTAATAGTAAACTAGATTACTTTAATAGTTTATTGTATGGATTGCCAGACTCACAAATTTCCAAGTTGCAGCGGGTCCAAGATGCATGTGCACAACTAATTTGCAGCCTCCCAAAATTCTCTCGAATAACCCCACTTCTAAAGGAACTACACTGGTTGCCAATTCGCCAGAGAATTACATTAAAAATATTAATGATAGTCTACAAAGCTCGAAATGGTCAAACTCCTAGTTACATTACTGAATTGTTGCATATCAAGTCTCAAACTCATGGTCGTAACCTTCGTAGACACATTTATGTTGCAAATACCCCCATATAAAACCAAAGTAACCCTCGGGGACCGGTCATTTCTCTGTGCTGCCCCTAGATTATGGAATAAATTACCACTAGAAATAAGGAAAGCCCTATCACTAGATAATCAAAACTGAAAACTCACTTGTTCATAAAGTATGTTTAGCACAGCATTTACGAGCTCTTGCAGCGCAGTAGAATATATCCACATAGTTATTGCGCTTTACAAGTAAATATTATTATTATGACAAGAACTCAACTTTATCTCTAAACAGAATTCGAAAATACATAGTCATAGTCTTACAGTGCAGACTTTGTTTGTGCTAGCAAACTCTAGTCATTGATTTCGTTTATCTTTCGTTGACAGTTATTCAGCCAATTTCCGCGGAAATTCTTACCTGATTACAAGAGCCCGTGCTGGAAGTTTCATAACGAAACCACCACCGGCTCAGCTGTCTACCTTACTTCTTCATCGGGGGATTCCCCAAATGCGCCACCACCGATCTCTGGGGTAAGCTGATGACCCACCCAGCCCTTGTGAGAACCCTAAAGGAACCTCATTGGTGGACAAGGACTAACTTTGAAGGTAAACAACAAATGCCCAGGGTAATTGCCCTTCTGGCCCTCAACATCAAAAAATACCCCCTAGTTTCTTAAACTTGAACACTTCTGTTTAATATGTTTTTTGAATATTTTGGACTATAATTTATTTATCGTTTAATGTATATACAATGTTGTCATGTTCTGTTCAGTTTGTTAAGTTGGTGCCCTGCATTATTATTCCATGACCTGGGCATAACGTGCCTTAGGGTGCATTTAAGCTTAAATTTGAAGGCAGAATGAGCGATTTGTAACGATCATCGTAAATGCTCATCGTAATCGCAGTTCCACGGTGTACTGTTTATGCTCACTTTTAAGGCTCATCCGTGTGGCCTTAATTGGTCTTCCAGCTGGATTCGCAAACCTTCACTGTGCATGCTACGTAGACCTACTAGAGGTCAGTGCGTTGACCCCATTTAAACGCGTTTACAAATTGTAAACGCATCTTTTTGTGAGTTTACGATCGGCGATCGTGATCGCCGTTTTTCGGTGATTCTACAAAAGTGAGCATGGACGCATCCGTGTTTTAAACTAAACGCGTAACAGATGCCTGATTCTGGCCAGAAAAAGTTAAGCATAAACACGCCCTTAGATCCCTTCATTGGTTTTGATGTATGGTCATGTTTACAGCTCATTAGTCTTAAGACCCTCTTGTTGGTAATAGATTATCCGGACATCACATGCGTTCGCATTAAAGATTAGACTTTCCAGTTTCGATGTTGGGATTTATAATTACTTATACAGTCGTTATTTCGCAGGTTCATTATTCCTAGCATTCCCTATTCCTATTTATCAGACTGTTTGATAATAATGGAGGTATAAAGGGCAATCCAACCCTTGTGATGATTTTATTTGTAATAAAGGAGAAAATTACTCCACAGAGACATTACCACCAATTTCAGCCAATGTATGGAGCCCATACCTATATTGATTACAACTTCTAGAGATTCCTAACTTTCTATTTTTTTTGTCCGATTTCATTCAAATTTCACCAGTCTATTTCTCTGATTTTTCTGCTTTTCTCTAGTAAGAGTGTTTTTTTTTAAAAATCAAGATTGGATTTCCCTTTAATAAAGGGCTGCGTATTTCATGGGTTCATACATGTAATTCTAAAAATGTGATTCGTTTATAAGAAGATTTGTTTTTTCAAAGGTTTGATGTCCAGAAAATAGGGCCTCGTTCCGGAGGTTCGCTATCACGAATATAGGATTCCGTTATTACGAACGCACCTTCAAATTAAGCATAATGAACACATTCAATAGCGCACGTTCGAGATAACCATTCGGGACAATGGATGTCTAGTTACAACAAAATATAATTAGTCTGTCGTTTATTCGTGTATATCTCCAGTTTAACAGTAGGGACTTTTATATTCTGCACGACGAGAACGTGGACTGCCCTTTTAAGGCAATGTGACGTCACTGCCAGTGCCTTAAAGGACGTCACATTGCCTTAAAAGGGCAGTCCACGTTCTCGTCGTGCAGAATCTAAAAGTCCCTATTGTATTGGCCTACAATCATGACAAGCCTTTTTTGTGAGAGGAAGCCTCTTTTGGCATCGCATTATTTGAGGCTAAGCTGCATTTTAAACCTGTTTTTAATATACAGGTAGCATCGATTTTACAAGATATCCGTGCAGGCCAACGGTATGATTAAATTAAATATGCATTTAAAAATGCAATTAAGGTTAGCCTCATGCGTTGCCAAAGGAGGCCTGTTTTAACAGGAGCGTCTTGCCAGCCAACATTATTATACAACGACAAATAAGAGATGGGCAGGATAAAGCATTTTAAAGTGCTTTCTCAAAAACACACGTAATTGACTGAAGAAAGAATACCTCGCTCGAATTGATCAGCAAACGCTCTCAAAATCAAAGATTTCGAGCTGACGCAAAATGCAACGGAAATATCACAATTCACAAAGGAGGTTTGTCGACAAACCACCTTTGTGAATCCGGGCCTGAATGACCTGAGAAAGGGGAGGGGGAGGGGGGTGGGGGTAATAGGAGAAAGGGCCAGTTATCTGATGTTAATAAACAAAAGCACACCTGAATATATGAAAACGTGTATACTTTATGTGCCCCCACCGTCCAAATTCGAAATTGAAGATATTTTCCTTACGCTTTTCACATAATATATTACAGTGTATAGGTTTGTGGATCTGTTATGTGTGGTAGGTTGCCTCTTCTAATCATGATGATGATAATAATAATTATAATAGTAATCATAATAATCATAATACTAATAATATCAATGATTATAATGCTGATGATAATTATGATAAAAGTAGTAACATATATTTTTAAATATATGTTTAGCGCTATAAAAATGGAAGCACTATTTTTATTATTGATCATTGTCATTATTCATTATTATTATTATTATTATTATCACTATTATTGATGTTGTTAGGGGGTGGTTGTTTTATGCTCATTGTTGTTGCTGTTTTTGTTTGTTGTTATTATTATCATTATTAATTGTTATCGTTTTAGCTTGTGGCAATTTACTAATGGCTCTAAAATGCGAAGAACCTTGTCTATTTTATTTTACACACACTATTCCAAGTACAAGTAGTTCGCATATCACTACAGTACTTTGTATCATTATGTGTTTTCCTTTTTTTTTTTATTTCAGAGAAAAAAATTGAAACATACGTTCGTCGATATAATAACTTATCGAAGGAAATGACTTCTAAACATCAGAAAGATCTCATCACATGTAAGTATACCAAACATAAAGACTTCCATTTTTCCTTCGGATATAGCTATAAATATTCAGCAAATACTGGCACTAACCATCATGAATATTTGTCCTTTACAATAATATATAAATATTGCTTTTAAATTTCTTCAAATTGCTGTTTTAAATCAACTGTCTGGATGCACAACTTGCGGCCACGGTAGAATATAACATCAATCGGAAAATTCTGAAGTTATCGGTTCATGATATTGGCCTATTGTTATATTGAATGCCGGAGCATGCATCAGTTAAATAATATCCTCTATAGCAGTGAGCAGTATGAAACAGGCCGCCTCTGTCTTCATCATTGTGATTTTTACGGTGATTAACACAAAGAGAATATTGGAAAAGAGTCGATAAAACATAGATGATATTTCCCACAGTGCGGCACTAGAGCTTCTCTGCTCTCATCATATTTTTTCTTTACACCATTATGATATATGCGGTCATCAACACATTGAAATCATATGAACTGAAACGATAAAACGTCATATTTTTCACACAATACGTCATGATAATATTGTGTGCGGTTTACGTATAATGCGTAAGACATTTGCCACGACTGGGCGTGTAGATGATGGAACTTGGGGAGAATGGGTGGGGGAGGGGCGGGGGGGTGCCAACTTCATGGTTGACCGTGATCGTTTATAACAAAGTTAACCCCAAGGGCAAAGTGCGGTGTGAATTATTAAAGATAGAAAAACAGTGTGCCACGAGCAGTTGATTGAGGAGAGAATCGCCACAGATTGGCACATGGCACGGCCCTCGAAGGGATCACCGACACATCTTGGAGTAATAAATCGTAAAAGGGCTTCATTGGTTGTTCAGCTATGTTTAAAGAGAAAGTTTCGTTCTGATAAAGCTGAAAATACTATCCATGAGCTTTCTCAATCTTTCTAAGTCATTTAAGAAGAAGATCCTCGAAGCACTGTCCCCTGAAAAGGGATAAGCTCTTCAAATAGAACCAAAAAAGAAAGAAATACCCACCGTGTCATGATGAATACCCCCCCCCCCTCTCTCTCTCTCTCTCTCTCTCTCTCTAACCCTCTCTCTCTCTCTCTCCCTTTCTCTCTCTAGCTCTCTCTCTCTCTCTTTGCATACCGTCCACACCCATACACATGCAACTATATTCCTTCTCTATCATGTTTACAAAGACAGTGACTGGGAGGGGACAAATATGTCTCAAATGTCCCCTCTCCCCCCCCCCCCCCCCCCCCCCCCCCCCCCCCCCCCCCCCCCCCCCCCTCTCTCTCTCTCTCTCTCTCTTCTCTCTCTCTCTCTCTCTCTCTTTACATTCCGTCCACACCCATACACATGCAACTATATATTCCTTCTCTATCACGATTACAAAGACAATGGACAAATCTATGTTTCAAACGTTTCTCTCTCTCTCTCTCTCTCTCTCTCTCTCTCTCTATCTCTCTCTCTCCCTCCCCCTCTCTCTCTCTCTTTTTCTCCCCCCACTTGTGAATATGTAGTGGTGTAGGGGTTCAATTCACCGCACTCTCAATCCAAGGGTTTGGGTTCGAATCCCAGCCCTCCACTCTGTTTAAAATTGGATACCCCTCATTTTGTTCCTCTCCTGCTCTCGACCCAGATGTATTTTCTGGGGTAATAATAATTACAGGGCCTGCAGGAAGAGAAGTAAATAATTATTTATGTGGTTATACCTCAGGGTAAATATTATGAATAAAAATAACATGTATTATTAGGCATAATTTGAATAGTCTTATAAATTTGCTATTTAAAAAACAAAACATTTTCCATATTAAATAACCGTAGACATACACCAATGTTATGATTAAGAACGATTACTAGCGTCAACTGCCAAGAACATGACTGATGGTATTTAACAAAAAAATAAACATAGCACCCGATGACGTACGAATTTATTCAAAAGGGTTTCATTTTGATAACATGTGATGATATGGCAATGGGTTTGGCGTGTGACAAAGAGCGGCGATCCGACAAATATTGCTCCTGGCATTTGTAGGGCTAGAGTAAGGGATGCAATTGCGTTTAGGTTAGGTGAAGGCCTTAAGGGTTAGAATCAGGCGCGTACGCAGGGGTGGGGGAGGGGGGGGGAGTCGAACCCCCCTCAAATAAATAATTTTTTAAAAATAATTAAAAAAATTATAGTTATGGGTGATCAAAAAAAGTGACCTGACCCCCCCCCCCCCCCCCCCCCCAACGTAACGAAATATCAATCATCCAAATTTTCAAATTTTCGGGACAAAAAAGAAAAGAAAAAAAAAGTGTGCTCTTACCTCCCCCCCCCCCCCCCCCCCCCCCCCCCCCCCCCCTGGCTGATCGTCAACGAAACGGAGTTAAGTCTTTGTCAACTCTGTTCGTTACTACGGCAGGCAGCCAGTGAAAACGAACTCGTTTGATCAATTTATGGAAATGCAAGCATTACTTTAAACAAACAGAACTTTGTTATTCCTGGCTCATTTTTCCTAATTGAGGTGTCATAAAAGAAAGGGCAGAAATTGAACTTTCTAGAAATGTGATTTTCTTCATGAAATTCAGATACCGCCCGCCAAATGCCTTTTTGGTTTACTCTCTTCAAATTGCTTTTAATCACTCATGCGTGAGAAATCATATAAGTTGCATCAAATGAAAGAGGATAATCTAAGCTTTCCAAATATGTGACTTTTATTAATTATAATTGTAAATAAGTTATGATTAAACATCGATAATTCTCGGTTTCGTCTTTTCTGGGACGCACTATATTACTTTTTTTCTTCTTCAAGTTTACTATTGAATGATTTTATGATTTTATTGCCAGGTGACGCATCTGCACTGACGTTCCAGGATAACAAGGCAGTGATAGCTCGTATGCCGCCCAACCTCAGAGAGGAAATCAAGTACGTCACAGCTGATTTTATCAGGGCTGCCTTGCCCGATCTCAAAATCGTTGGCATTATACGCGATCCAACTTCGAGGCTCTACTCGGCTTACCTTTATTTCGCCGAGCACAAAAAGAGTCCCACATCGCCGGAGGATTTCCACGTCAAAGTGGTGAAGGCGATGGAGGACTTCTACAATTGTACAGATAATCATGATCTCCGTTTCTGTGCCTATCATGACGTGGTACCGGTAAGAATAATTATTGCCATGAAGTTGCCTGTCAAATTTCCTGAAATTTAATTGAATTTCCTTCTTTTCTTCTAAACTGCCTCGTGAGTGCCTTTTTGTGCCTTTTTTTTTTTCGTCATGAAATTCTTGGAGACTAGCGCCAAACGTCTTTTGTCTCAACAGAAAATCACTTCAAATTGCAAACGAGTGAAGCGAGTGAGCAATAATGTACACTGAATACAGAGGCAAATGACAAATGATATCAAAGAGTAAAGATTCGCCTTTTTAGTAATTATGTTCTTTAATTAAATTACTTTTGATTTACCTTATTTTATCTTCAGTTTTCCTTTAATTTGTCAATTTCCTTAAAAATGTCCTTGACACTTTCAATTTTTTTTAAATACTGAAAACAAGGAAATTTCCTTGAAAATGGAAGCTACATGTATGGTGTAAACATTGGGCAATGAAGGAGCCCTTTGCCCCTTCAACCCTCATTTTAACTCCTCATTCTCCTCCCAACGTTGTCTCCTCCTCATCATCGCCATTTTTAAGGTGACTATCGTCGTCATCGTCATTATCGTTTCCACCATCACCGTATGCTCCTCATAATTTTCATCATCATCACTGTCATCTTCATTACCATCACTACCACCAAATCCCCCTGTTTCCCTCTCCTCCTCCTCATCATCGTCTCTTCATCATCATTAACATCGTCATCATTGTCACCGCTACCACTTCTACCACTACCATCATCGTCGTTGCCTTTTCCCCATTTATTTATTTATCCTGTTCCCCCTTTACATCGCATGCCGTGTGGTTGTATTTTCAGCACATAAACATCGGGTGCTATTCCTTCTACATCCGAGAATATCTGGCACGGTTTCCCCGGAACCAGCTTTACTTCTTACGCACAGAAGACTGGTCAAAAGATCCTGCTCATTATATGAAAGAAATATTCTCATTTGTAGATATTGGTAAGTAAATACTGACTGTCATTATAATGAATTTTGAATTGACATTGGGCCTTAAAGATACTATGTCCCTTTTGCAGCCAACATCAAATTCTGTAGAACTTTGCAGGAATTATGAAAATGTCATGTATGTCCTATCTGTGAAATTTAAACGATAGCAGTGTCCTAATATTCGAATTATGCAAGGAAACCCGTTTACTTGATAGACTTCACTGTCAGACGCTATTGAGTGACTGACTGGCTTTTTCTTCTTTGGTAATAACATACATTAAATGAGCTATAACGAGTACATGAGCATTTGTCTACATCAATATTAAACCCACTTCTTGTAATGGCCAGAATTACTGATTGAATCTTTGCGCAGCATAAAACGTACGACCATTTGGTACAATAGTCTGAAAATCAGACTATTACTTACTGGCTCTATAGCTCTTAAGTCGATTTGACAACTAATAGTCGTTATTTTCCCACTTAAAGACATTTTCAAGCTCCCATTTTTTTAGGGAAGTTCTAAATTAGTATCATCTTTCAAATACCGTTGGAATTTATCCTTTTCATTTTTTTTTGGTCTGCAAATGGGACATAGTACCTTTAAAACTGTAAAACAATAACATTTTGGTGTTCATGATAGTTCACGAATTTTGCAAATGGACGAGAAGAAAAGTCACTTCAGCAATGCAAAAGATTCATGCTCCAAAAAATGAACTGTGTCTCTTGGAAATTTATTGACGGGAAAAGGGGTGTATAGCAAATTGATTAAACATACATTCCCAATTCCCATGTTTGTGTTTTGAGAATGACTATAATATACCAACACAATGTTATTTTTAAAGCAAAGCACTTCAGGTTTGGTTAAAAGTCACAATGTCAAGCGTAGTCAAAAATTCGTGCAATTTAGGTAGGCCTATAGAGTCACTTCAATCGGGATTACTAAGGTGGCACAGACCAGGTGTGCCCCCCCCCCCCCGCAAAAAAAGTGTTCATTTTTCATGTTGAATTCATGTATAAAGAATTATCCTATTTGTTTGGATTTTAATGAACAATTGAATTGAATTGAATTGAATTGAATTGAATTAAATTGAATAGTATAAACAAGATTTATTTGATGAGGGATAGGGGAGTTCAAGACCTCCCCCCCCCCCCCCAATACCCTAGTCCCCTCAGTAACCGTTATTAGATCATCGTGCATTTTATGCAATGCAGAGACAACAACATGAAGATATAGATGCTTTGTACTGTACGTGTAATTGTCACTAAAATATTTAACCCAAATACATGTAGCAACAAATTCCTAACGAAAGTTTAAAAAAAAAAAAAAAAAAAAAAATCTTCAAAAATGCAAAAATGCAAATAAATTTTCACTAGCCTATACCCATCACCCATCGACGTTTACCAACAACAGAGCATTGACTTATAATGTATTCCAACCATGATTTCTATAGGAGATACACGACTCACTGAGTATGAAAATTGCCAAGAAGTTGATTTCTAAAATGTAATATCGTCAAAAATAATAGCGGATAAAAATCAGTACACTGGAAGTAATAATAATAAATAATAATTACAGTGCTTATATAGCGCATAACACTTACTTTGTCAGAAGTCTCTAAGCGCTCTGCGACGACGTTTCGACAGTCCCTGAAAGCTTCTTCTGACTTCTTAGTCAGAGTGATTTTTTATTCGCTGTTATTTTTTTACGGTACGAAATGAATAATAATCTTCTTGAAAATTTGCGATCGTGGTATTACTAATAGGTTAATATCCCAGAAAATGATTTATTGCATTTGTCCATTGGTATAACCCTGGTCATATCCTCACTGTGGCGCACATAATATTTGAATGAGTTCAGTCTTTTGATTTATGTCTTTAGGTCGTGTATATGAATTCATTTACTTCTCTCTCTCTCTCTCCCCCCTCTCTCTCTCTCTCTCTCTCGCTCTCTTTCTCTTTGTCACTTTCTCTGTCTGTCTGTCTGTCTCTCCCTCTCCCTTTCACCTTCCCCCTCTCTCACATCTCTTGTTCTCTCTCTCTCTCTCTCTCCCTCCTATCCTCCCTCTCTCCCCTCACATCCTCACTCTCTCCCCTCACATCCTCCCTCTCTTCCCCTCCACCCTTCCTCCATCGCTCCCTCGCGATCTCTCCCTTTCTCTCTCCCCTTCTCTCTCTCTCACACTCTCTCTCTCTCTATCTCTCTCTCTTTCTCTCTCTCTCTCTCCCTCTCTCTCTCTCTATCTCTGTAGATCCAATGTCTGAAGAATACCGACATAAGGTTGCACAGGCGGGGAAGCTGAACCGAAGAAAAGCACGCGACAGGAAAGTCGGGCCGATGCTACCACAAACGAAGAAACTCTTGGACGATTTTTACAGACCTTGCAACAAAGATTTAGCCAAACTTCTAAATGACGACAAATACCTCTGGCAGATAGGCACGTAAAGTGTAGTGACGGATTTGTAAAGACTTGTCATGACATATGCTGCAGATATATAAATACTAATAATAATAGTTGCAATTTCCACTTTCCATTGAGAAGAAATTAGCGCTTTGAGATTTCAATCAGGTGTCGGTGTTAAAGTTAAAAATATATACAAGTACGATGCAGAGACAGTGTGAGTTCAACTAATGCATATGGTTTCAGAATAGATTCGCATGAAAATTGTTCCCCCGCCCCCCCCCCCCCCAAAAAAAGAAAAAAATACCCTGGAAAATTAACTTGGTATAGAAATAGAAGGGCGAGGGGACCCAATCCTTTTGCAGTGGCATGTCTAATTGCATAAGCGAAGAGAAATAGAGAATGAAGAAGAAAGGCAAGAGAACCCTGGCACGTCCTCCCACATTATTCCCTGGGTGCACACCCCCATCCCCCTCCCAAACAATCATTGTACCCATGCCTCATGTATATTTTACAGAATGCCCCCATATACAATAAGGGATAAAGCAACGTCGATCTGGCGCTGCTCAGTAGCTGCCGGGCTCACGATCAATTGGGCAAAAAGAATTTCCATTTTCGGTTTAACTTTATACAATTTGAAGTGGACTTTAAATGATTATTATTATCATTATTATTATATTTAATACATTTAGTGTCCATGCCAGGGGCGGTCCAGTTGATGGGGAGGGGGCGGTCAAGGGGTTCGCCGATCGAACCTCCCTGTAACTTTGTATTTTGTTTTTATCTGTTTGTCTACTTGTTTGTCTTGTGTTTTTTTTTCAGTTTTGTTTATCCGATTTGTTTGGTGGTGGGGAGAAATAGAGTGAGAGCAAGATTCATGACAATTTACAAAGAGACCAGGGGTGTTTCACAAAGACTAAGATCGACTTCAAGTTGCATGGACTTAATTACGGCAGACTGTTTTTTTCCAACAAAAAAAAAAGACGAGCAAAAAAAAAAAATTGTGACCAGAAAATTACCATTTCTCCCCCCTACTGCAGAGCACATGTTTGTTTGTGTGTGAGGGGGGGGGGGTCCAGTTTTTTTATGCAAAATTCGCCTCAGCCGGCCGGTGAATAAGGGAGGGGGGTGTGGGGGTGTTAAGAGCATCATACAAGCAAAATATACATATTGTTTTGTCGGGGGCCGCTTTTGTTTTTTGTTTTAAAAAGGCTAAATTTACGTTATTATCCTATTTTTTTTTACTGTTTTGGGGGGCTTGGGGGGGGGGGGCGGGCCGGAAAAATCGCTTCATGGATCCGCCCCTGGGTGAACAAATGAATAATGTTTTCATAATTCCGTGAACACGTATCCAACAGTCCTCGTTTTGTTAATATACAGTTTTGTACAAATACCCGGAAGGCCTTTTATAAGTATGCTGGTTTCCTATTTAGTGAGTGAAGATGGTTGTAGATGACAATGTGTGGAATTTTAAAAATCTAGATGATTGTGTGGAATTTTCTCATTATTTGCAGTTCATGAATTATATTTTGTCATGACCATGGGATGCTATATATGTTTCATTTTTAATAAAAAATAACTGATATGCTGTCAAATAGCAGCAAAAAATATATATACAAGGAGAATGGAAAATAAATAAGGAAGACAAGACTATGAATTCCATTATAAACTGCTCAATTTATGTACATATACTCTAATTAATTATGACGTTATATACAATCATTATGGAATATTGTACTCATGAGCTTACTTTTATTTATTCATGATATGTAATATTTCTATTGTAGCATTGTTATTTATATATTTATTTATCAGAATTAACAGTTTCTTTGACTTTGTGTACATCTATCTATTTGTATTTCTATTCTTATTTGAAATCCAACCTCAGGTTTTGGTTGCAATAAAGAAATAATGATGATGCAAGGGTAGGCATTGGCTGAAATTTAACGTATTATGAAGAGGTGAAACAGAAGAGAGAGAGAGAGAGAGAGAGAGAGAGAGAGAGAGAGAAAGGGAGAGAGAGAAGGGGGAGAGAGAGAGAGACAAATAGAGAGAGAAGGAGAGAGAGGGAAAGAGAGAGAAGGAAAAAGGGAGAGAGAGAGAGAGAGAAAGAAGGGGAGAGAGAGATAGAGAGAAGGAGAAAGTGAGAGAGAGAGAGAGAGAGAGAGAGACAAGGAGAGAGGAAGAGCGACAATGAGAAAGTGTGTGAGAGAGAGAGATAGTGAGAGAAAGAGACAGAAAGAGAGACAGACAGAGGGCGAGTAAGGAAACATAATAAAGAAATAAGACAGAAAGAAAGAAAAAGGAGTGAGAAAGAGAAAAAGTAAAGAAAAGAGAACTTGAAGAGAACAAACAAGTTTTTATAAAGGATTGCCACGTTTTCAAGCTAAACCTATGTGGCAATTCTCATTCGTTATTATTTCATATTGGTATTACCATGCAATTAGTTTACGTTGATGATGTATTCGATATTATACATGTTTGATATCATGATTATGTTGTAATTAGTTTTTATTTTTTGGGAAAAGGGCCATGAAGAGAAATCAATCAATCAAATCTAATTAAATATGAAACAACCACCTCGATCCTCATCCCGTATATATCACGATAAATGTGTAATTCCATGGAGAAAAGAAATCATGTCAACATACAATCAATGGTCTTGTCTTGCCAGGATAGCCTCATCAAAACCGAGAGCCCTGTAATCATATACATGTATTATCCCGG